TTACAAAATTGTGGAGGCACCAGGCAAATTGTGGCCGAAATGTTATTTGTTCACCTCAGCGCTGAAATTTCTGCTCACAGAGTTTTCAGATCATGCGCCGAAATGTTCATGCAGCCCATCCGTTACACTGGTCATGTTGACAGTGACAAGGATTTTTTTTCCCAGTCTCATGTTGAAATACAATAATAATTCACTTAGCATGATTTTAGCTTATGTTTTTCATGCCAGTTCCTAGAATAAAGCAGCCAATATTTTCTGTCATGTGAGAAATATAATAACAATATGCACAATTGCAGGCTGTGGCATGTTGTAAGGTTTTCCTTGTTTATTGCTGAGGTTTTTCCAGTCTCTGCTGCAAAAACGGTGATGAATCCACCATCGTCCGACGGTTTCGATGACGCCAATCATCGGCGAGTGTTGCTGTGATGGCCGACCTGACTGAGCGCACAGCGGCAGCCGCCGTCGCCCAATAACGACAGTGAGGACACCTCCGAGTCGGACGGAGACGCCGCCGCTGACGACTTCACCGTGCTGGACGAGGTGGAGCGCTCGAGCCGACAGACCGTGCACCGCGTGCGCTGCCCGACTGGCTGGCGCACCTGCAGCCGATTGGCGACCGGCGGCCGGCGCCGGCCAATCTGCCGGCGCTCTGCCCCGAGCTGCGCGCCCGGCTGGCCGCCGAGGGCATCGAACAGGTGTTCCTGGTGCAGGTGACCGTGCTGCCCGAGCTGCTGGCGGCCGCAGAGTCGCCACTGCCACCGGCCGACCTCTGAGTCTCGGCGCCGGCCGGCCGCTCGGTGCCCGCCGTGTTCCGCCAGTACGACGCCGACACGCCGCTCTGCGTCCAGCTGCTGGGTGGAGACACAGTGGCACGAGGGGGCGCCAACTGGTGGCGGTGGGGCCGCGCGGTCCGGCCTCCCTGGCTGATCGTGGTGAGCACTCCCGGCTGGCTGATGGATCACATAACCAGCGCCGAGGGCTTCTCGCTACCGCACCTGCGCTACCTGGTGATCGACGAAGCCGACCGGGTGATCGAGATGGCCGAGACGGGCTGGCTGAAAGCGGTGGAGCGGGTGGCGGCGGTCACGGCCCGCCGCCCTGCATCGCCGGCCGGCTGACGGCCGCCGCCGTCTGCGCGCCTCACCTGCCGCTTCAGAAGCTGCCATTCTTGGCCACCCTGTCACAGAACCCGGAGGCCGGAGAAGCTGGAGCGAATGTCGCTGTTCCAGCCGCGACTGCTGGTGGTCGGCACGGCGGCCGCCGCCGTCGCACTGCCCGGTCAGTTCGTCGGCAGGTTCACCACGCCGGCCGAGCTGAGCGAGTCGTTCAACGTGGTGGCGCCGCAGCCGCTGAAGCCGCTGCTGATGCACCATTTGCTCCGACAGCCCGACTGGCGACGCTCGCTCGTGTTGGTCAACTGGAACGAGGTGGCGCACCAGCTGGAGCTACCGCTGTCTGTGCTGGGCGCGCGCGTGACTGAGTTCTGTGGGGTAGTGCCGGCGTGCCGGCGCGCGCTAGCTGAGATGGCCGCGCTGGTGTGCTCGAGGCTATAGCGCGCGGTATTGACGTGGACGCCGTGGACGCGGTCGTGTCGTACGACATCCCGGCGCTGTTGAAGACGTACACTGCGTGCGTCGGACGGCGCGCATCCGCCGGGCCGGCCAGGCGGTCAAGCTAATGTTGGAGCGGCAGCGCAGCAATTTCCAGCGGCTGATGGTGCAGGCGGGCGGCCGGGTGCGGGAGACGCTGGCGCTGCTGGACGAGCTACGAGCTGCGCCAGTACGAGGCGACCTACGTCAGTGGATTTCCACACTAGCTTCTAGTGGATCGCTGTTGTTTTTTATGCTCATTGCTCATGATTTATTTACATTTTAGAAATATTGCAATGAAATAGATGTATGCCTTGTCATCAGCCTAGAAAAGTTAAAGTAAGTAAAGCGTTTTAGTTGCATAATGTATGTTTGTTCATGAACACGGATTTAACATGTCCTAACTCCCAAACATTTCGATATTAGACCCGAGTTACAAACCAATCGAAAGGCTTAGACGATCATTTGGGGCGTAGCCAGACGGCTCGGCTGGGTGTGAAAGCCGGCGACCAAGGTGGTGACCACCCGATCATAATGCACAGCGGTCTCCGTCGGACGATTGTGTCCGCGCGCAACGAATGATCTGGGCACACGCAGAGGAGTTCGGCAGGACTCTCCACTGAGCGGTACTGGGCGCAGTCGAACGACGGTCGACGACGCTAGCGCAGGTATTGTTAATTTGTTACGACTTACGAGCCGGACCAGTGTAGCGGGCCTGGAGCAAATATTCTTTGCTGTGTGGCGTTCCTTCTGCTCGACCGGGCCCGGCAAACGGGGCCTGCATATCGGCTAAAACCACCTAGCCGGGCAGTCTGACCTCCACCTCGCCGAAGCGGAGCGAACGACGTACCCTCAGCCCTGCAATGACCGCGGTGCAGCAGTTAATCTGGGTAGGTATTTTCCTAAGGTAAGACACTCGCCTTTGCACAATGCTTTACATATATAGGCCTTGGCGAGTTCGTTAGCCCTCTTACTCCCGCTAGAAGGTGCTAATGCAGTGCACGCGAAGCCGCCTCGTAGCACCGCAGTTTAACTTCAATCGCTCGGCAGCGGAACTGTCCGTCGTCCGTCCAGCTTCAGGTGGCGTCTCTGGGAGCAATGCTGACCGCCTATTTGCCGCTCTTTTGAAAGCTAGGAAAGAGGTGCGGCTCCCGGATCTGTCGGGAGCGGGACTCATAGGCGGCGGAACGGGTAGGGCACCGGGGCACCGTGCCCCCCTTTGATTTTGACATTTTAATATTAGCCCTATGGGCGTTGCATGGAAAGAATGGGACCAAAAGTCGGCAGTGCCCCCTTAATTGAAGGTGTTCCGCTGCCACTGGAGTGGGTCTCATCTAGTCCCCACCTCATAGCTGGAGGTCCACACATTGCGTTCTCGGTCTGCACGATGATTTTCTATAAGGTGAGACTAAAAACAGACAAAAAGGTACATAACAAGTTGAAGGTATTGTAAAAATTAATATAATAGGCTGACAGGAAAAAAGATTCATCTTAAATTTCCCTTAAATGCAAGCTTCCTTACGTCACCTTTATGAATGACGTGCCTACGTTTACAATTTGGTAGTTGTGTATTGTATTGGCTTTTGCTGGGCACCAGAATGTTAATATAGATATGAAAGCTTATAATGCTCTACTTTGTTGTTATTACTCTTGAAAATAATGTAATAATTTACGACTATAATATTTCGAAATGTATATAGCATTTGCATTAGAAATCACGCTTCAATTTGATTGAAAACATGCTTTAAATGATTTCTTAATCTCCTTGACATATCGTAATTTGATATCGTAACAGAATATCAGCTGACTACCGGCGACAAATAATTTTCGTCCGAAGTCGGCTGGAATTTTTTGTTGGTGAAACTCGTGGCTGTGTGGCGTCTATTTTTTCGGCTGGATATTTTATTTCGGCGGCCGGCTGATATTTTTTGGTAAAACTGGCCTCTGAACTACGTATTCATTCCATAAAAACAAAAATAATTTTTGATGCACCACTCGAACGATGGCACATTCCAAGGGCGAGAAGGAGCCTCAGTTTTTGTTGTTACAAATACTGCGCAAACAATACATTTATTCGATATATATTCGAAAAACCGCTTACGGCTGCTTTTTCACGTTGAGTGACGTTAGCGCATACGGTCGTCAAGTTAGATGTAAGTGAATCCTAATCTATAATCTAAGATTCGGAATCAGGTGAGCCCCTACGATTTGGACCAAACTTGGTCAGTGGATAGTACGTAACGTCCTGATTACGATGCACCCAAAATCTAAGCTCGGCCCGCCATATTTACGAAGTTACGGATGTTTGAATTTCAAGGTCATTCGGGAGAGCCCCTGCGATTTCCGTCAAAATTTGTGTACGGACACTCTAGATGCTCCTCATTACGAATATCACAAAATTTAAGCTCGGCCCGCCATATTTACGAAGTTACGGAGGTTTGAATTTCAAGGTCATTTGAGTGAGCCCCTGCGATTTCCGTCAAAATTGGTATACGGACATATTACATCCTCCTCGTTACAAATATCATAAAAGTTAAGCTCGGCCCGCCATATTTTTCAAGTTACGGAGTCACAAAGTTACGGAATTTCAAGGTCATTCGGAGAGCCCCTCCGATTTTCGTCAAAATTTGTATGCGGACACATTACATGCTCCTCAGTACGAATATCGTAAAAGCTAAGCTCGGCCCGCACTATTTCAAAAGTTAGACATGTTTGAATTTCAGTGAGTTTCAAACGTCAGTAACTTTTGAAATAGTGCGGGCCGAGCTTAGCTTTTACGATATTCGTAATGAGGAGCATGTAATGTGTCCGCATACAAATTTTGACGAAAATCGGAGGGGCTCTCCGAATGACCTTGAAATTCCGTAACTTCGCGACTCCGTAACTTGAAAAATATGGCGGGCCGAGCTTAACTTTTATGATATTTGTAATGAGGAGGATGTAATATGTCCGTATACCAATGTTGACGGAAATCGCAGGGGCTCACCCAAATGACCTTGAAATTCAAACCTCCGTAACTTCGTAAATATGGCGGGCCGAGCTTAACTTTTGTGATATTCGTAATGAGGAGCATCTAGAGTGTCCGTATACAAATTTTGACGGAAATCGTAGGGGCTCTCCCGAATGACCTTGAAATTAAAACATCCGTAACTTCGTAAATATGGTGGGCCGAGCTTAGATTTTGGGTGCATCGTAATCAGGACGTTACGTACTATCCACTGACCAAGTTGGGTCCAAATCGGAGGGGCTCTCCTGATTCCGAATCTTAGATTATAGATTAGGATTCACTTACATCTAACTTGACGACCGTTAGCGCATCACGTTAAAGCCAATCAGCGCATTCCGTATCTTTATGAAAGTGCACTTTGAACAGATAATCAGAAATGTGCATTGAGTCGCCCTTTTGGCTTTTCCCGCTTTTTTTCATCGAGTTTGAGTGCTGTTGGGGCGAATAATCTCGGAGATGAGTCAGTCTTACATCTAAGGAGCAAATATGCCTTTTTGTTTTGTGCCTCAATGCAGTCATTCCAGCGCCAGTTCCCAGTCCAAGTGCTCCTTCTTCCGATTGCCCCGGGACGAGGGGGAGTTGAAGAAATGGACTACACTGATGAGGTTCGTCATGCGACATTGTGATATCTCCTTTTGTTTATTATCGTGATATTGCTGCTTTTATGACTTTTTAGATATGCAACCCTCACAGGCTCACACCATTTTGCTAAGTACCTGCTTGGGTAACTTCTAGGTGATTTCAGGACAAATCTTTTTAAGTACCTTAGGTACCTATTTCTTCATTGCGCAATTACTTGTCGGGAAAATGTTTGTCCCTGCAATTCTTTGTATCCATAGTTTTCAGTCGGCACATTTCTTTGTTTCTCAAATGGTACAATTGCAAACAATGTATCAGTATGACTGTATGGGAGGCTCAGCAGGATCAGCAAGGGAGTAAGCACCTTTTGTTGCAGTTAATCATACCAAAAGTACAAATTTTGGCATTAGTAGAGCAGACGTCACGCAAAGGCCTTCCAATCAAAGATAGGCGCTGTAGGTTTGTAGGTTAGGCCAGGTTAGGTTATGTTTGTTTTCCGGTAAACAGGAGATCCTGAGTTCGGATCTCGGTGGTGCCTCCAGAACAGTGGGTGAAGGCGCCAACACCACCGGCGTTTAGGTTAGAAAGAAGCATCTCCGGGTATAGCGCCTCTCCTTAGCTGGAAAACCTTCGTGTGACGTCTGCTCCACTTGTACCTACCCAAATTTCTAGATAGGTACATTTGGTTGTAAAAATTGCTGATTTTGCTTGGTGCTTGCTGGTGTGTATTTGTAGATTGGTTGATGTAGGAAGTCTGCTTGCTTAGCATTGCTGAGCAGGGCCCTGTTTCACTGCACGCTGCTACCCACATTCAGGTGCAAATGGAAATGCTGACAAAATTCTGTCCAAATGGAAATGCTGGCAAAATTGTTAAGATATTTCACTGATATTTCTAAATTCTTTTGAAAATGAGCACCAATGCCCAGCTGCGGTGAGTAGGTAACTACGGCTTGCCGTGAAGCAGGGCCATGCTGTCTGATTCATTTTCTGCTAATAGAACCAACTTTATTGTTTTGCTTTTTCACAGGAGACAAGATGCAAAGCCCAATGAGCATTCAAGAGTGTGCTCTTGTCATTTTAGGAATGGCAAGAAAGAAGCTGGTCCAACCCTATTTGCTTGGAATGACTTCAAGAGAAGGTAATCTTGTTGTTGTAACTAGCCTCATACTTATCACTTGTAAACTAGAATAATTCAATAATGGTAATGCTAAGGTGAAGGTCAAATTGAATGCTAATAATTTAATCCAAACAGCTTAACATTAAATGAGCTTCAAATGATTAAATTCCTCTCATGTTCATGCACATATTGTCATACGTTTGTCATTTTCGAAATTGCATCAAGTTTAGATGATCCTTGGTCAGTCTGAAATGGAAATTCATGACTTCAATCATTTCATCAGATCTCAGATGTATCACAATACTCATTATGTTGCTACTAAGTATTATGTAGTGGTGCCAACTGCCATTAATGCAATGCTTGTTGTTTTGTTTTGGCTATATTGCAAAGCTACAAATAGGCATTGTCCTCATTTGCAAGCTTGGTCAGTTCATGTAGTTTTGTTGTTTTGTTTTTTTAGAATGCCGGAACCAGGAGATGGAGCTTGGCTGGCGGCCCGGAGCTGGCGGCCGCCCTGCCGTGACGGTCGCACGCCGCTGTACCTGGCCGTACTGCAGCCCACCCGGAGCTGGTGTCACAGATGCCAAGCTGCGAGATGACGGGGGGTGAGTCGATCAGGAGCTGATAATGTTACTTTTTATTAATGACGTGTATGACGCATGTGTAGTTGCAAATGTATTTCGCTTTGCGTATACTCATTTCCGGAATGTGATCGTCGGCGTGACGCTTTCGTATGGCTCTTGATGGCTCATCATAGTGACTACATTTGTGATCAATTGTTAAGAGTACCGTAAAGTGGGGCTATTTGAGACAGTGAGGCTATTTGAGACAGTATTTAAAATCGCGATAAAATGAAGATCGTTTGATTTTTATGTGATGTTTTTGCTCAGGAAGGTGTGGAATCGAGCAGTGAATCGCCTGAGCAAAAATTAAGCATATATCTCAAACGGTTTTTATTTTATAACAATTTTAGATACTGTCTCAAATAGCCCCACTGTCTCAAATAGCCCCACCTTACGGACACGGTACACGTTATTCATTTCTGCTCTTTTCTTCACCACTCACTATCATACATGTACGACCCCCCCCCCTCCCCCTGTGGCAGGTTATCGGCCGTCGTCCAAACGGTGCGCGCGGGCCCTCATCTTGTCCGGCGGCGCGCCCACTTCGCGACTGGCTCCGACCTCGCTTGGCGTTGGTACAAGAGCTGCCGGGAGTCGCCCTGCGTCCTCGGCGGGGAGCCGAGATTCCGGGCGGGCCGACTCCAACGTTTCCACACGATATCGCTTTGATAGCCAGGTCTGGTTTGGATTTGTGAAGGGAACAGCTTGTATAGAAACCTGCTATTTTCCATGTGATTCAGAACGTCTTTATTGCGTACCTATTGCTTGTGGTCGGTCCGATTACTGATAATCGAGTTGGGACGAGACCGATGCATAGAGTTTTAACCGTATCGTTTGCTGTCTTTTTAATGATTATTTCTGTAATCGGTCACGAGGCGAATCCTCGTTGAGCCTAATTTGTTCTCCAGTCTGTTAAGTCTGGTTTCCTTTATTGATGACTTTGTGATGTTAATGTGCCAAACCACATGCTGCATTAGATATTCAACTTGAGTGTCAAATCAAAAACAAGTGATGCTTAACAGCTATACTACGGCTGGGAACGGCCCTTTGCGCTGTTTTGTCATGTTTGGTGTCAACATTTAACGAATAGTTGCCTCACATGCCTTCCATTCTCGGCTCATTAGCCTTCACAGCTGACAGTCGATCGTTTTGTCCTGCAGAACGGCCTACGACGTTCCACGGCGCACGCCCACCCGGAGCTGGCGGCCGCCCTGCCGTGACGGTCGCACGCCGCTGTACCTGGCCGTACTGCAGCCCACCCGGAGCTGGCGGCCGCCCTGCCGTGACGGTCGCACGCCGCTGTACCTGGCCGTACTGCAGGGCTGGCGGCCGCCCTGCCGTGACGGTCGCACGCCGCTGTACCTGGCCGTACTGTAGCCCACCCGGAGCTGGCGGCCGCCCTGCCGTGACGGTCGCACGCCGCTGTACCTGGCCGTACTGCAGGGCTGGCGGCCGCCCTGCCGTGACGGTCGCACGCCGCTGTACCTGGCCGTACTGCAGCCCACCCGGAGCTGGCGGCCGCCCTGCCGTGACGGTCGCACGCCGCTGTACCTGGCCGTACTGCAGGGCTGGCGGCCGCCCTGCCGTGACGGTCGCACGCCGCTGTACCTGGCCGTACTGCAGCCCACCCGGAGCTGGCGGCCGCCCTGCCGTGACGGTCGCACGCCGCTGTACCTGGCCGTACTGCAGCCCACCCGGAGCTGGTGTCGCAGATGCCAAGCTGCGAGATGACGGGGGTGAGTCGATCTGGAGCTGATAATGTTACTTTTTATATGACGTGTATAACGCATGTATAGTTGCAAATGTATTTCGCTTTGCGTATACTCATTTCCGGAATGTGAACGTCGGCGTGACGCTTTCGTATGGCTCTTGATGGCTCATCATAGTGACTACATTTGTGATCAATTGTTAAGAGTACACGTTATTCATTTCTGCTCTTTTCTTCACCACTCACTAACATACATGTACGACCCCCCCCTCCCCCTGTGGCAGGTTATCGGCCGTCGTCCAAACGGTGCGCGCGGGCCCTCATCTTGTCCGACGGCGCGCCCACTTCGCGACTGGCTCCGACCTCGCTTGGCGTTGGTACAAGAGCTGCCGGGAGTCGCCCTGCGTCCTCGGCGGGGAGCCGAGATTCCGGGCGGGCCGACTCCAACGTTTCCACACGATATCGCTTTGATAGCCAGGTTTCTTTCAATGATTATTTCTGTAATCGGTCACGAGGCGAATCCTCGTTGAGCCTAATTTGTTCTCCAGTCTGCCAAGTCTGGTTTGCTTTGTTGATGACTTTGTGGTGTTAACGTGCCAAACCACATGCTGTACTATTAAAGGGTGTCAAAACGAGTTATGCTTAACAGCTATATAAACTACGCCTGGAGTTTGCTCTGATATGAATTGCGTTTTATCATTATGACCTAACCAAATAACTTGAGTGAGGTAGTTGGAAAGTACTTAGCATAATACGTGGCCGCTGGCTTCGTTCCCCAAGCGCGACGGCTCGCCGTTTTCAACGTTCGTCTGCGCACTGTACATCTGCAGCCCAGTAATCAATAAATGGCACAGGTACTCGCTTTTTGTTTTTTTTCGGAAGTAGTACGTTGGAGATGGAGACTGACTGAACCTTATTGAACTTAACACCACAAGTTGTCATCCTGACATATCTAAGTACACTTTCAACTGATAAGGGACATTTTACATTACAGGTATGGTAAGATGCCCCACTTTGGTTGTAACTTGGTGGAGTCTGGTTTGCATAGATAATGCATTAAATATTGTTTTGAGCCTTACTAGTCAAGTATTTAGGTTAGTCAGTATTCAGTAACATGGCCTTCGGAAAATAGTGTTGGATTGAGTACCATTGTAAAAAAGCTTTGGCATTTGGAAGTAAAATTGCCTTGCACAATAAATTAACAAACTGCAAAGAAAACACCTGCTTTTATTGACCAGAGAGGCATTTGTACCAAAACAGCAAACAGAGTGCATACATCCCTACATTCATTATCTTGTTGAGCAACATTACTGGGATTTTATTGCATCAGCAGTATCACAGATGATCTAGAAGATAGAGAAATTCAATCAAAGAGCAAGCAAGACAGGTGAAGAAGACATCGCAACTCGTATCCTACGAGGTACTATTGGTCTCAAGATAAGGGCCCAGGCGACCTAAGTATGGATGTGGTGAATAACCTCGCCTTTGCCACAACTCGAGTGGGGGTGGCGCTGGGCCACTGAGTGGAAGGAGGGGTACACTCAGCCCGAGCTGTGGCGAGGGCAAGGGTACCTATTCACCACATCAAAACTGCAGGTCGACTGGGCCCTTATCTTGAGACCAATAGTACAAGGTATAAGGTACGTACTTACTTACTCCCAATCAGCAGCAATGCATCACAATAAAGCCACGTCTACAATGTGAGCCATTTTTTACATATGAAATAGTATGGACATCTGAGAAACTCGGTGCCAGGGCATTTAGTGAATTTTATAATGCTTGTATCATCTAATAGATCGGTAAGCATCAAAGTCATTTTGAACTGCTTCAGCTTTTGGAGAACAATAAACTAGTCTTGTTTACTGATGCTACTTAGATCCAAAAGACAACTGAGCAGTGAATCAGTGTCATTTTTATGACTGATATTTGTTGAAGAAATGGCAAAAAACGTGTTTGGCTACTAAATCATCCCAATGATAATTTGAATTGCACTATTCAAACTCGCGCCAGCATTTTTGTTAATAAAAGCAAGGACACAATTGTGTTATAAATAAGGGCGTCAGCATCAGTATCAGTATCAGTATCAGTGTACAATACAATACAAAATACTAAATGTCTCCACGGCGCCGGCACCGCCGGCACCAAGGTTATTCCTTTTCGTCCGAGCGCTATACACGGGGTTGGGAAAAGTTTCGCATGGGGTGCCAATTGAAAGAAAATGTCACGTGACTGGCGTCCCATTTCGGTGGGTGTTACAAGTAGGTACTGGAGGTAGGTACTGCTTCTTTTTTTTGCAAAAATAAAAACCTTTTTCACATACGAAAATGTGCTAGGAAATTTTCATATTTTATAGAAACTACAGTAGAAATAGTATAGATGTCGAGTAATTTTTATTTAAGAAAAAAGAAAGCTCATTATCTCCCTTTAAACATTTATAATAAACTGTTATACAGTACAGACCAAATATTCGTAGTGTGTTCGTGACCATTCAAATTGAACATACCTACCTATATCCTCACTCAAGAATACTTATTCAATATTTAAATTTTACCCGTGAAAGGCCCATTCATTACGGAGCGAGCGAAGCGAGCGGAGTCTTTCCTTAGATTAACGGAAATTTCTGAGTATGAGCGGCCGTGCGGACGCTTTTGCGAGGCTTATATCTCAGCAACCAATTGACCGATTTACACGCAGTAATTTTGTAGGGTAGCTTCATTTCTTCTACCAAGTATTGGACTATTCCCGATGCATGTGGGTGACCCCTTATGCACGTGCCACGTGCAAAACGAAGAGGTGTCAGTTTTGTAATTGTTGCAATATCTCGGTAACTACTTGGTCGATTGCGCTGAAAGTTGGCATGTAGGTAGGTAGGCACCCACTAGGCACTGCATATCCATGTGCCAGAGTTGGGGTGCTGCTGCGCGTGCGCACGTGCAGGGGTCGTTTCCAGATCTCGAGAACGGCTCGACCGATTGCGCTCAAATTTGGTACATAGTTAGGGACGGCGGTTAGTAGGGTGCCGTGCACAAGTCAGTTGGGACCCATTTTGCACGTGCGCACGTGCAGGGCGCCGCTTCCAGATCTCGAGAACGGCTGGGCCGATTGTGCCCAAATTTGGCAGATTGCTAGAGACCGGTTAGTAGGGTGCCGTGCACAAGTCAGTTGGACCCTAGGAAAAAAACCATCAGGATTTTTCTGATGGTCTGATGGTTTCTGATGGATTTGGCTGATGGTCTGATGGTTTCTGATGGTTCTAGCTGATGGTCTGATGGTTTCTGATGGTCTTGCTTGGTGGTCTGATGGTTTCTGATGGTCTTGTGTGATGGTCTGATGCAGGGGCGTCGCCGACGGGGGGGTCGGGGGGGTCGTGACCCCCCCACTCTTGAAAACTGGGGGTGTCGACCCCCCCACTTTTTGCGATGCTGAGTATGCTTTTTTAGCTTTTATGTCAGTGAAGCAGGCGTCAGCAACACCAACAAATACATCAGACTCAGAATCGCTTCAAGAGCTCCCTAAAGCCAGTTAGCCAATTACCTAAAGTTCAATTAGCTGTGGGCGGGGAACACCAGCACAACAATATTTTTAAGTAGCCACCATTCTATAGTACCTTTTTATCCCTCAAAAGATTGGACGCGCCAAAACTGCCCCGAGCGTTCATCTGATCGTTTAAAAAAATGGTCGCGGTCGATTCGTCGGATCAGTACCTAACTACAAAACTACAGCCCCATGGTACATACTAGCCTCAGCCCCATGGTTACCGTCACAACTAGCTGTGCAGTGCACATGTAGGGGAAAGGGAGTCAGATGGAACCGTCTCGGGCTTTCGCAAAGAAGTCGCGCAAAAAGGAGCCGATTGCAACGAAACTTCCGGTGCGCTCGAGTTAATCACCTACTTAAAAATAAATTGATATCCCTGATTCAAATAAAGATGACCTTGGTTCACTTTTTCATAACATGCTTTTAATTTAGGTATAGGAAAGTTTTTGGAGCTGATTTTGAACTTAGCGCCCATCTGAACATTTAAGAAGTAGTTGTGTTGCTTATACATATGTATAACATGTTAGGAAGCAATCGGTGGTGGTCATCCACTATTAGGTACTGGTCGATCTGACCTGACCTGATCTACCCCAAATGCATGGAGTCATCATCTTCGCTCAAAACTAAGATAACATTCGTAAGCAGAACCTCGAAAAACCTTCACAACTGACATTTGCAAAGTTCTAGCAGGTCCCGAGTTTCCCTACTTATTGGCGATGACCTGATTCCTGAGATGATCCGAAACCTTGTAAATGGGTATCATCGGCTTTCTCTCGTCACGGGCAGCATGCTCTTTTTTCCGCAAACCTCTAGATCGATCAGGGGTCGAAAGCATACCTCAGCGGTACTTTAGTATACGTTATACGTTAGCGACTGGGAACCCACCAATAGAAGGGCTACAGTGAAGCAGAAAACATATTCGATAGCTCTTTCAACGCTCTTTCGCTAGCTTCGCGTCAGATTTCATCTCAGGTCTATGTTTTGCCCATAGAAGGCAAACAACTAACTGGACAGATTCTGCCGAAACATTTGCTTTGCAATAACTTTAGATTCCGTGAATTTGTATGGTAGTTACATATGTTGACGTTGTCTTGTCACCACCGTGTTTATCTCTTTGAGACCATAGGCGGCGGAACGATTTGAGACAAGGGGGGGCACCATGGCTCAAGGAGCCAAACCTAGGGTACCCCCAAATCCTGTTTTCTCATCGGATTTAGGCCACTTATTTTTCGTCACAGCCCTGACACGACGATTTTTTTTTTATTTTTTACTAAACGAAAATGAACATCTCTTTGTGGGGGCATATGCACCCACAATCCTGAATTATGCCCCCACAATGATGAAAATGCACCCACAAGTCTTTTACAAGGCTGCAAGCGTCCTTTCGAGAGCACGGTGCCCTTCGCATGCTCTAACGGCGTCCTCCTGACCGTCTCGCGTTCATGGATAATATAGCGTTTTTAATCACTTGACGCCCTTTTACGAGAATGGCGCCCTTCTCATGATCTCAAGGCGCCCTCGTAACCACCTGGCGCCCCCACGTCCCCACCAACGTAGCACTACTGACTGTGCGGCGCCCTTCTGGCCTCTTAGCGCCCCTGGACCACATAGCGTTTTCAATCACTCGGCGCCCTCCTAAGAGAATGGCGCCCTTTTCATCGTCTCACGGCGCCCTCGTCTGGCACCTCCATATTTGGTGCCCCTCCTACTGGATGGCGCCTCTCTACATCTTTTTTACGTCCTTCCATTCAGTTTCCACTTTTAAGCGTGTATTTGCTTAGTCAGACACGTCACTTGAAGCGCCCTTCGGCTAGCAATGTTATCAAATTCGGTGTTAGTTTAGGCTCCCACATAAAGAATATCCATCGCGCCCCAAAACGGCCGGGCGCCCCTACAGCTGGGCACCCACAATCATTTTAGGAAAATTACACCCCTGCCCTGCCCGTATGTTTGGTTAACTTTAAGCTGATCCTCAAGTACCTATGTGTTTGTCTCTTCCTTATTGTCGTTTGATAAATTCCATTTATCCTACATGTATCAAATTCCCAAGAAGCCATCGCAGTACTAATCAGTGGCGAATCCCAGGGGGAGGTCACATGGGTCATGACTTTGGGCCTGGGGTCACCACATGCCTGCCAGGAGCACCACAGGCCTGACAGCCGACAGGGGCACCACAGGCCCGCCAGGGGTACCACAGGCCTAGCAGGGGCACCACGGGCCTGTCAGTGGCACCACAGGCCTGTCAGGAGCACCATCGGCCTAGCAAAAGCACTACAGGTCTTCCAGGGGCACCACAGACCTGCTAGGGGCACCAGAGGCCTGC